TACACACTGGCCAATCCTACGCGATCGCGGACGTGTCCACGCGATCGCAGTGAACAAATTCTTAGCTGCCCGAATTAACCCTACGCGATCGCAACCCCATTCACGCGATCGCGTAGAACAAATCCACCTCTGCCTAAATTACTCTACGTGATCGCAGACCAACTTACGCGATCGCGTATAAGGATACCAGAAGAAAATACCAGCAGTTATCGACAGTGTTCCAAAGGCCAAAAGTGATCCGTTAGTCGTCTGAAACTCACCTGAGCCTCACGGGACCTCGACCAATTATACCAACAAGTCCCAAAACATCATACGAATTTAGTCGAACCCTCAAATCACACCAAACAACGCTAAAACCACGAATCATCCCTCAATTCAAGTTTAATGAAACTTTAAGATTTTCAACTTCTACATTATGTACTGAAACCTATCAATTCAAGTCCGATTGACCTCAAAATTTGCATACAAGTCATAAATGATATAACGGAGCTATAAAAATTTTCAGAACTGGATTCCGACTCTGATATCAAAAAGTCAACTCCCCGGTCAAACTTCCAAACTTAAATTCCTATTTTAGCCATTTCAAGCCTAATTTAACTACAGACTTCCAAATAAAATTCCGAACATGCTCCTAAGTCCAAAATCACCATACAGAGCTGTTGGAATCATAAAAATTCTATTCCGGGGTCGTTTTCTCAAAATATTGACCGAAGTCAAACTTAGCACTTTAAGGCCAACTTAAGGAACCAAGTGTTCCGGTTTCAACCCAAACACTTCCCAATCCCGAACTAACTATCCCCGCAAGTCATAAATTATTAAAAACACATACGAGAAGTTTTATTTTAGGAAACGGGGTTTTAAAAGTTAAAATGACAGGTTGGATCATTATATTTAGAGTCAATACAAATTAAATGACTCAATCAGTCAATCATATTTGTAGCAACAAACTAGGATAAAATGGACTTCTTACTTCTTCCATGTTACCCTGAGGTAAGTATAGTTCATCACTTTTTTCTTACTTCATTACTAATATTATTTGACTTTTCATGCAAAAAATAGTTTAGGATCATAATCACATTTACTTTTCGAGAAAAACAAATGACGAAGAAGGAGAGGGGGACACCATTCTGATGGTTGATTTCTATTATCTTAAAAAATCAATTTTTCTTAATATGAATGTATTAATAAATTTATTTTTTCTCTTTTTGCGTAAGAAAAATCGACTACAAATTATATTCGTAGAAACTGGTTATTAGAAAATAAGAATGTTAAAATATGCAATATTTAAAGACGAAAATATTCTCGACCAAAGCTAAAATATATTTAAAATATATATGTAATTTCACGCATGATATAAATTATCATATTTAAAATTTTACCCAATATATGAGACTTCGAATTAAACTAGAATTGTTATTTGGCTATAGTTGTGAAATTAAATTTTATCTGATATTTAAGACTTCGAATATAATGATAAAATTTTTAGATGACTACGATTGTGAAACTAGAATCCTACTAAACTTTTCTCTGAAGGCGAGGAAATCTATTGTAGTAAAGGAGTAATATCTTTAGAGGCTGGCCTGTAATGTAATTTTGCTTTTTGACATTATGTTTGGTATGGTTTGATGCAGTTTGATAAAGATTACAAAACGACAAGTTTTATCGGAGGATAAGGATTTACATGATAGTTTACTTCATCTCAATTTAGTTTTATATATTTTTATTTGGAAAAAGGAGTAAAAAGGAGTACGTGAAGGGTCAAGAGATAGAATATAAGTTTTAAGAATATTTCGTGCAAGGATGAGAAAAAACGGTCTCATATAATATTTCTAGATATCCCCAAAATAGTTTATTTAACTATACATGTCCAACTCGAAAACTGAAATTGCTGGCTAAATTAAAGAAGAAGATTTTGGAATTGACAATTAAATTAATTGAACCTATATTATTTGAGAGAAGAAACAAAAAGAAATGATTTTTAAGTAAGAAATTTGTAGTATCATATGAGAGCCTGACTAAACACAACCAAATACTAATTGAGACACATAAATTAACTAAGCTAAACTTTTGACAACAATACTAAACTTTACTCTGATAGCCACGAACAAGTGATGGAGTATATTTTCAAAAGGTGGTTTGTACGTAAATATTTTGACAACAATATCACCATAAAATGAAGAATATCTTTTTAAAATTAAAATTTTTAATATGCATTTGTTTTCCAATGGTAGTAATAAATGCATGATTAGATAATCTCAAATGTTGGACTATGTATATTGCATTATGTTTTCTTACAGAAACTATGTATTGTACTTCAAAGAGAGATCAATGTCAACAACATAAATTTTAGTCATGATAGAGTAGGCAAAACGATTCAAAGAAATACTCAAAATGTATTATCTACAAAGAAGTATTAGATAAGATATGACTATATTGTCTAAATACAATGCATAATTTTATAGTAGAAGTACACCTATTCGAGGAAGCAAATATAAAATAAAAGTCCACTTTTACGCCAATTCCCCTCCTAAAGTACTAGCTACCTAGTCAACATATTATATCGGGAGATTATGAAATTGCTTATTCACAAAGCTTGTTTTAGGCAGGCAACAAATACTGTCGAACTAACTTAATTACTTAACAAATCATCTTTGTTGGTCCAGATGATATCCAATCATTTTGAATTTAAGTATTATGTTACTGTAAATAATATTTATTTTCAATATTTAAAGGATATTTGTATTTTATTTAGGCCAATTGCCTTGCAACGATTCTTTCTTCTTCTTTGTTTTAATAAAAATATTTTCATTCGTATAAATAATTGATCAAAGATTCACATGTGACGCACGTACATAGAAACTAATACTATATTAAAAATATGAAACTTCTTAGAGAAATATCGTTTGTCTTTTTACCCTTAAAAAATAGGTTACATATTGGACAAAATTGTCGTATGATTATTTTCCTAATATATAAATTTTAAAAGGAACTTTGAATGCAACTATATATTTTATTATTAAAATTTTCCTTACTTGAATGAACTACGTTGGAAATCCTAAATTTTAGGACATTACAATCTATTAAGATTTTATTTTTTTAATTTTTTATCCAAGAGTATTATTTTTGTTTTATAATATACATAAAATATTATTAATCCTTTTGTTAGATTTACTTTGGAATAACGCCTTTTGAATTGTATCATTTTCATGCTTTTAATATAGCAATACAACAAATTAAGAACAATTTCAATATGTTTCTTACAAAAAGTTTAAGCAGAAAAAATAGCGTTATTGTCTTACAGATTCAAAGGGAAGGACGTTTAGCACTAAACAAATAAATCGAACTACCTCCTTTTATCCTTCAAAAAATTATTTTAGACAAAACTATCATTTAATTTTTTGTTATATTTATGACTTTGAAATCAATTAAAATATTAATTATTAATTTTTTCCTTATTTAAACTATGTAAGAAGTCCTAAATACATAGGAATTTTAAATCAATTAATATTTTACCTTGTATAAATCTTTTCTTATATATTACATATGTAATATATACTTTCCATGGTAATTCCTCCACTAAAACTAAAGAGACTTTACTAGCTTTTTAGTTCTACAGGGAGAGAATTGGTTGAAACAACTTTTGTTTTGTTGTTGACAAATATCCAGCATACAAGAAGACGTTGAGATTTCATCTTGTAGAGCTCAAAATTATTTGTTGCTCATATGCTTTTTTTGGAGTACCAAATTATTTGTTGCTCATCAAATGCTTTTTTTGGAGTACTATTTGTCACTTTCTTTATGGTTGTTTCTTCTAAAGCTATAATTTTTATAGAGAAATCTCACTTTAATTTATCTACCGGAGAAGCCTCTAGAATTTTTCAACCAAAACAGTAAATTGTTATTCACATTATTATTGCATGTGTCTTTATATATTTGCGTTTTGTATTTCGTTTGATTACTGCATCTATTATGTGTTTCATGAAATTTTGATTTTTCTGATGGAATTAGATTCCTGATAACTATAGTGATGCATTTTTAGTACTATTTTATTCATTCTTGGTATTTTTTTTAATTTTCTACACAATAATAAATCCTCTTTTCAAATGAATTGTTTTTTTTGGGGTTGAGGGGTTGTTTATGCGTTTGGTTGAGAATTTTCTATCACCTTCACTACCCACAGTAAAGACTAAACGACGTTAGTCAGTTACCACATAGATAATCTTCCCAAAATTTAACTTCATAAACTGAGTCTTTTTAGGACAATAAATTACTAATGTTATATTTATATGTACCATTTCAAGAGAAAATAGTAAGAGCTTACTCTTATCGAATATTGACAGAAACGAAAATAGATGCATAACCACGCAACGACTTTGAGTTTGTGGTTATTCTACATATTAGTTTCTTGATTCTTGATGTTGTGTCATTTAATAGTTTAAGTATTTAATCGTGTATATTTTAGGACCAGAATTGTCTTTATGGTGCTTGATTTTGTTCTTTATAAGTAGCTCTATTTTATTCATTTTACTTAAGTTATTATGCGTGTACCATGTATCAATAAGTATAAACTTTCAAACGCTATATAAATAAATAAATTCTACTATATTAGACATATTTGAATTATAAAATAAAACTAGTGAATTAACCCGCGCGTCGCGCGGTTTGAGATAATATATATACATAATTAGTTCAAACACCTACACTATAACACTCTAGTTATTCTAAAACTAAAACAATAAAAAACAACAAAAAAAAGAAGTTAATCTAAAACTTATTTGAAATGCCAAAAATATTTGAGAAACAAATTTCCTACTATTTAGAAGCGACAGTTAAGGGCACTTCGTCGTCCTGTTTTCGAAAATTTACAATGAAGTCCTTTTCGTTGTCCTGCTGGACTATTGATGTTGCATTAACATTGGGGGTACTTTGGTATTTCCATATTTTACACACCCGACTTTAAACTTTCCCTTCATCGTCTCTTTGGTGATGTGGAAGCTAAACCTGCTCTTGCTTTTAGCGGTGTGTAGCTCTGCAACACCTGCGCTTTGATGAGCATGTGTAGCGTACTTCTGGCGGTAACCGTTAACCCTAAAGCCAGTACACTTTTGCTGTCGCTAATTTGATCTTTTCCTTGGGTTGCACACTCATCCAAGTCCCGGTGGCAACAGATCATTAAATTTCTGAAATTGGGTTTCTCTTCCGCTCTCAAATTTCATCTTCAGAGTGTTTGGGTTGCCAACAAGTTTCTTTGACTCTCTTTGGATCTAGAAACGGAGAGAAGAAGTCTTATGTATTTCTTTCTTTTCAAGTCGTGTAAATTGAAACTGAAAATTTGGGGTTGGGAACATTTCCAGAAGCTGATTAATTGTGTTTTATTTACCATGAAGTCCACGTGAAAAGTTGGGACTGGTACGGTCATGAGAGATTGAAGATGGTTGCAAAAGAACTGTGACTCTTTCTCTTCGAATACAAGGTAGTCTCCTTAGTTTCTGGTTTCTACACTGTGAACATATTTTATAGTGGGGTTAGTGTAGCTGAAGAAAAATGGAATCATCTTTTGCGTCGTCGTTACAATTTTCTCTTTTTTCAGATTTCACGGAGATGAATTTTTAGTTGTGTGATTTGGTTATTGCTAGAATCTAAGTTCCACGGTGCACTGTGGGTTAAACCAGCTGAATAAATAAATAACTCTCTGAATTTAATGGGTTGTTATATGTTGATGTCTCAGTAATGCTATGATGTTATTCATTCTGTGATATGGTATTCTGTTTCTGCGAATCTTAACTTCCTTTGGATATATTGGTTGTGTAATTAAATATTACATGTTGGCTGTTTTATAATGGTAATCTTCATAATCATACACGTTCATTACATGAAATAGCTGTTTCATTTCTGGTCATTATATTTAATTGTTCTTTCATGAGTATCCCTTGCTATTTGATGAAAAAAACTATAACTATAATGATGCACAATGACGTGTAGGACAACTGGAGTACCGATAGTTGCAGAAAAATTACATAAATGGATCTTCGACAATAAAAAAGATGGCGCTCACTCGATGACAGAAGCTCATGATAAGAATGTCAAACACCGAACAATAGATAATTGTATAGCAATAACTATGAAAGAAGAAATGTTGTTGGATATTTTCTTTTCGTAAATTCTCTTTTCTATGGTAAACTACTGATGCTGTGCAACTGTGAGTACTTATGATATTTTCAGATTCAGCTTTAAACTAACCCTCTCTAGCTCACAGCATTGTCGCAACAGTTATGCCTAGCTGCCTGTTTGCTGATGCAGTTAGGACCATACTACGTTCTCAACTGGTATATGCCGTTCTGTTTGCCTTATAGCCTATAAAGAATAATGCTAACATATGCTTCACAGTATGTGCTATATTTATATCAATATAATCAGGAAGAACAACCAACGTTTATGTCATATTTCTTGTGAAAGCATCATCTGAAGCTTAATATTATGTACTAGAATTAGTTAGATTTGGCTTGTCCATGTCAGTGCACATAGGTACATCATATGTTCTTCACCTACTCAACAATATTATATCTCACCGTCTTTATCATTTTCAGAAGCCACTTATGCATTTAATTAAGAGTACAAAACTTTTAGTCATTTGGTCTATAATCAGTTCAGTTCCTTTTATTGATCAAGCAAAATAAGTTGGAACACTTACCACTATAACCTTTTTTTCTCTTTTATGCTACAGATAAACTGGTGTAATCATTTTAAAACATGGCATGGAATGGGACGACTTCTATGCTCCCTTGCAAAATTTGTAATCTGATTCACCTGTTGTTCAAACTGTTGGTTACTGCATATTCATAGTAATCTTCTGCAGCATATGGTCTTGCACTAAGTGTTCACACGTAATATCCAGCATGCTAAGAATCTTTTTGCGGACTCTCTAAATGTGAAGGTTGGGAACTACGTTTGTTGACTAATCATATACTTTATGTTCATAATTTTGTGCATATTTTTTTTTTTTTTTTTGATGACCGAGAAATCCGTCTGGGGCCGATCCTTTGGACCAACCGCAGCCTTCGAAACTCGGTGGATAATGGGCCCGTCCCTCTACCCTTCTCCACTTAAATACCAGGCTTTGCTTTGCATGGTGTGGGGACTTGAACCTGTGACCTAAGACACAAATCCACCACCCTTTGCCACTTGAGCTAGGCCCTGGGGGCCATAATTTTGTGCATATTATGAACCTTGAAAACATAATCACGGAAAAATGGAGATTGGATCCAACTATAAGCTATATTAGAAATGTTGGTATTGTTGTTTACTAATCTTTACTAAATCTCAATTTGGATTTCTGGAACTCCTACTTATGTTGTTTTTAAAATATAGTGTACAACTGGTTAGTCAATTCCTTCTTAGGCATAATGTTTAACTACACATTGAAGTAACAAATTCATGCCTACACCAAATGTGCTTCATGATCTATAAGCAGGAATGGCAGGCGGTGCGGGCTGTGAGGGTGCGGGGCGGGTTATGTCTGAACCCGCGCAATTTAAACCCGCCCCGCCCCGCATAGGATTTAAACCCGCATTCACCCGCCCCACACTCCACCCGCGTTCACCCGCCCTGCCCCGCTAATTTTTTTAATAGAAATTCTTTCTTTTTCAGAAAGCTAGACTTAAATCTAATTTTTTTAACAAAATAATTAATTATATCCAAATTGTTCTCTCTCTCTTTTATATACTTAGCTTTTTTGAAGTAGCCTTTTTGCTTGTCATCGCTTTTCAGTGCACAAGAAAGGAATTACATCTCATTTATATATAACCAATGTTTAACAGTAACATATGTTTTAATTCGTGAAAAAAAGATCAGAGTAGATCACCAATCTGATCATTAGGACAATGCGGTAGCAATCAGTACACACAATTCTTAAACCACTACTAAATGCCTCGTAAATAGGACACTGCTCATATATACAGATTCACTTGTTTGCTTCATTCTTTAATTTGATCTTTTAGTACTATATTCTATTCATCTGGTTCTGATCCTGGTTAACTACTATCTTCTGATTATTATTATTATTATTAGATTGATGGTTGAGATTGACTTTTGATGGTTACTGTGTGCAGGATGGGGAACAAACGAGAAGTTGATCATATCAATTTTGGCTCATAGAAATGCTGCTCAACGCAAGTTGATTCAACAGACTTATGCTGAGACTTTTGGTGAAGTTTGTCTAAGCAAATAGGACACTGCTCGTAACAATCATCTTCTTTCACCACTACTAAATGCCTCAGCTGCTTCATCCACAATGGCCCATCGTATCAACAAACTACAGTAAGCCACAAAATCTGAACAGCAAGGTCTATACTCAACAAAATCTATCAAATTCAAATTACAAAACCACAAGAAATTGTATCAACAAACTACAGTAAGCCAACTTGAATCAAAAAGAAATTGTATCAACAAATGACATTCTCTTCCTCTTCTATCGACCAGTAAGCCAACTTGAATCCGGCTCTTCCTCTTCGTCAAGTAATATTGGACATGAAACTTTGTCGACCATTGAAGCCAAACCTAAAAAGAAACATATATAGTATTAAAAATTGAAAATCACTATTAACATTACAAGTCATTGAAAAAATCACTTACCATTTATTTCGTTCCATAACCAAGTGCGAGCACACATTAAAGCCTCCAAAGTAGTAGGATGAAGTCTACTACGATGCGGACTAATTAATCTCCCACTAATACTAAATGCAGATTCTGAAGTAACGGTAGAGGCAAGAATGGCTAAGAGGTCACGAGCCATTTTTTGTAAAGTAGGAAATTTTATTCTGTTTGTCTTCCACCAACTTAAAATGTCAAATGATGGTGTGTGGGGTAGCACATTTTCTTCTAAATAAGAATCCAATTCCGATCTTGTGTCCATGTTCGAGCTACTCGACGCGACAAACCTATCAAAACTAGACAGTCGGTCACCCTCAACATGACCAACAACTTCACTAGAACTAGATGCTTGGGATGACTCAGCTCCTCTACTCTTATATTCTTGAAAGAGATCAACACAATAGTTTTGAACTTCTTGAATTTTATTTGAAGCAGCTTCTCCACCATAAATATGTGTAAGATAGAACTCCACCAACCTCATCTTATATCTCAGATCAAAGATAGCAGCTACACCCATCAAAATATGCACTTCATCTTAATATTTCTTAAATTTCAACAACATTACTGATGCCATAGAGCTAATCAAAGGATTTAAACTTTTCCCCAAGGCTTCCAATTCTAGCTTAATATCACAAACTTTAGAAAAGTATTGAGTAGAAGTGGGATATTAAGTCCCTGAGAATTCTTCAGTGATATGGTAGAAAAGCTTTAATGTATCACAAACTTCTTTTGTTGCACTCCATTGCCCTTCGATTGGAAAACAACGATAACTAAGGTCATTTAGGCTCAACTTCATAAACACATCTTTGTATTCCAGGGCTGTTCTCAACATTAGATATGTTGAGTTCCAACGAGTAGGGCAATTATACTCTAACTTTTTGTTACAAGAAATATGTAGCAATCGTGCAGCTTCTTCAAACCTTTCGATTCTGCCTGAAGACCCTATCCAATATAAGACACTGTCACGCACATTATTAATACTATCTTGTATCATCTTTAGTCCTTCTTGCACAATCAAATTCAAGATATGTGCAGCACATCGCACATGTAACATTCGACCCATCAACAATAAATCCCTTTTACAAAGTTTCTCATCTAGAAAGGTTTTCATCATAGCATTGTTTGTGCTACAATTATCAACTGTAATTGTTGAAATTCTTCTTTCAAGATTCCACTCTAACAAGCAATTAAGCAGCACACTACACAAACTATCCTTATCATGTGGAGCAGGAACATAAACAAATCTAAGAATATGGCTTTGAAGTCTCCATGAATCATCAATAAAATGTGCTGTAATGGCCATGAACCCTTTTTTGGTGTAGTCCGAAGTCCACATATGAGTTGTTATTGCAATTTTACTTGTAAGTTTTTCCAATAACATAGAAGTTTTTGATTTCAAATTGTCGAAAATCTTCGGTATATCATTCTTGATTGTGTTCCTAGATACAACGGTTGGAGACTAGCAACAAACTTCCTAAATCCTACATGATCAACAATGGACAATGGATACTCGTGCAAAATGAAAGCATGAGCAGGTTCTCTGCGTGAAACATCTTGATCAAAATAGTGTTGTTGGCTACCATCACCCCCCGAACTACCCTCATTGTCTAAGTTACTTGGCTTTTTGCGACATCGACTACGGATATGATCTAACATGGACGATGTCCCACAATTTCTTGTTGATTTGATACGAGTATTACAATACTTACTAACACCAAAACGAACACGATTAATCATCACCGGTTTAAAATGCTTCCATGCGTCAGAAATAAGTTTTCTTTTCCCAGTTTCATCAATAACTTCAGTAGTAACTTCATCGACTTGCATATGCAATTGACTCTCACTCTCTCTAGGAAAAGTACTAGAAGATGAACCAACCGGATTCTCTTCATTTTGAGACTCCATACTTATCTACAAAAAATAAGCTAAATTAATATTATGAGACATTTCTAAATGCACATGGAAAATGAAAAATTCAGCACATTATAGCTTCATGTGTTCATGTTTAGACATAACACGTTATTACTGCACCATACCTATAGGGGCATTAATCTTTATAATACAATAGCAAGGATAAAAGATGGCCACCTTTGCACAGTCAAGTTCAAGAGTACTTAACTGAACCTAATCAATTGAGCTCAAGCATTGACTTCTGTAACACAATTTCATGATAAGAGAAGAGAAAATCTCCCATTGCATATCCATTTCAGATGTTGATAACCAACAAAATCTTCAATATCACGACTAAAAGAAAACTCAAAACAGAACAGAAACAAAATAGATACAACTAATATACTAATTCTCTTTTTAATTTCCACATCAACAACCAAAAAACATAAATCTTTCCCCATGAGAAAACCAAAGCAATATTGATGCCCATAATGTGTTTGATAAAATTTCCCATAGGAAAACCTTCCTTGCTACAAAGATATAATTTTTTCTGCTGTTATGATTTATTATTGTTATGTCCGGCTTGCCTTTCAGGTATGTTAGGTGCCATCACGACTCGTTNTGGCCATATATATATTTATATATATACACACACATACACACATACACACGTGTTCATATAATATATTTCTATGTTTTTAACGTAATATTGGATATATATATATACAAACACACATACACACGTGTTCATATAATATGTTTCGATGATTTTTCACATAATATTGGGTTGAGATTATTGTAAATTTTAGTACACAATTTAACCATCTAACTTCAAATCCTGGATTTGTTGTTGCTAGTAATCAATGTAACTTGCAAGATCTAGACTAAAAAGAGGGGCAACTCCTCAGTTTGAAAGTCTTCTAGCTTTGTACCTCTATCATTCTAGCTTCAAGCCAACCGGTAGTGTGGTCTGTCTTGATAATCACATACATCTTAACCTGTAATTTCTGGTGAAGCAGAAGTACTGTTGTATTATACCAATAACCATGATAGTTGATAAGCATGAATAGTTCTTGTTCCTATTTTTCCTATGATTGTTGTGGTGATACTAATATTGTCTCCTCTTGTCGTTTTGTCTTTTTATTTTCTTGAGCCGAGGGTCTTTCGGAAATAGTCTCTCTATTCCTTTGCGTAGGGGTAAGGTCTGCGTACACACTACCCTCCCCACACCCCACTAGTGGGATTTTACTGGGTTGTTGTTGTTGTTGTTGTAACTGTTGAGTTCATAGTTCTTACCCTTGAAACTATAGGGATCTGTTCTGTTCCAACTTTAATATTTCAAGACTCCTAAACATCTAAGTAGCATTTCTAGTTATGGGAACTAGAAATAATATATTGCTTTGGGATGCGTGTTACAATATGTCCAATAAATTATCAGACCCCCATTTATATAGTAGAGGAGTCCTACTCTAGGTACATTTCCATAAAAGGTAAAAATTTCTAGATTTGCTAATTGCCGATTCCTTGGCGATATGCACCGAGATTCCTGCCGCAATATCCGGCCGGTCGCGGATATTTCGGTCTTCCATTTGTTATCTTCGAGCTCGCTCGACGCTAAGGTCGATATCGGACTCAACGTTCCTCGAAGGAAGGTCTTCTGACCTAAAGTTCTAGCTCGGTGAGACTCGAGGTCAACCTCTAATCTGTGATCGCCACGTTCTAAGCCAAATCTTCCAAGTTGTAATCGAGCTCGACTTCGACCGTATATAGTTAGTCCCCTCATTTTTAGGAGATTAGACGACGAGAAATGACATGAACTTCCGATCCCGATCTCGATTTTTTGCTACAGAAACGACAAAACAGTCAAAATGTCTCATTAGTCAAGTTTTAATGGCATTAAATGCCTGTCAGTTGCCGGTCGCCCACTCCCAGATATGAACAATCGCCGAGAAACTACAAATACCCCTCATTATCGCATTCAATCTTTACTTCAAAAACTTTTGCCCTCGTACCTTAGAAATTTCAATAATCCAAAACATCAATTTTCTGATTACTCTAAAATCACTTTATAAGAACTTTTGTTCTTTATCCCAAATTATCAAGCATATCCTTTTAACTTCCTCTTTTCCCTTAACTTTCCAAAAACAAATGCGAAGACCTCAAAGTCAGTTCTTCAAAATCAAACACCATTTGCCTCGCGACCAGCTGTAGAGGAAAATGTTTCCTCTGCTGCTACTGAGGAAACGACACTGGAGCCCTCCTTGAAGATGTTCGTTCCTGCGGGGTGCCCGACCGGTGCGGATTTCAAGGTCGAGAAAATCACTTCGGTACCGGGTCAGTGCGAGCCGGTATCGATATATATATGCTCGATCACCGACAGTCTCTTCTCCAAGGTCAAGGAGGATTGCAACTGGGTTGATAAGCACGTGGTGGTGCCTATGCCCGAGGAAGCGATTACTACCCACGTGGAGAGTTTTTTTAAGTGTTTACGCTTATCCCTTCTAGTTAGGCCTCTTGGACCCGCTCATAATAGTCTTTTGTAAGGTACGAGGTGACCCTCGGTCAAATTCATCCCTCTTTATGGAGGATAGTAATTCTCCTCCGATTCTTCGTAAGCAAAATTGAGTAGTGTCCCTTCACCATCGATCACCTCATACGTCTGTACAGTCCCTAACTATATAGAGAGGGATTAATAAAACTTGCCCGTCTGGCCAGTAACGCCCCATTTTCGAGCATATATGAGGATCGGGACCGAGGTTGGTTGGGCCGATTCATTCGAGTGAAGACCTCGGATATAATCCCGGCAGAGGATATGCCATTTCCCGAGAAATGGAGCATGAAACGTAAGTATAACCTTGCCTTTAAGATTTCGTTTGTTGCTTTTCCTTTTTCTCCCTTCTTATCGATGTTTCGTGGTGCAGCT